TTTAATTCCATAAAAAAACCATGAAAACCACTAAAAATTTTATTTTTTATAAATTAATCAATAAGTTACTCAAACGTTTAGTAAATTTATAAATTCAAACTTCTCCACTCAATACCCAACCGTTTAAAGTCATTAAGCTTTGCAATTCACGTTGCGAAGCAAAACTTGATGAAAACTCAAGAAGTAAAAAAAACATCAACGTCACGGCGTTACTTAGTGTTACTCTGACTCTCCACTCAACAAGAACCAAGTGAGTATATAATATGAAAAGTTTTCGCAAATTATCCGAGACATTTAGCTTCGCTTCGTAATCGAATCGATGCCGTGCGCAATGCCGGCCGAGTTAAGTTGCATCGTAAAAAAAATCAGTACTACTACTACTACAACCAAGAGTAACTTTAGGGGTCGAAGGGTCGATGCGGCAATGAGCGAGATCCAACGCCACCGACGTAATGGAAGTAATAGACAAGAGAGTTCTGATTAAAACGTCACTGTCGCCCGCGATGGTTTAATCAGAATGCGTTACTATTCTAATTAACGTGTTTCATCCGCACGGCTCAGGGCACGAACCATGCGAGGATGAGTTATGCGCATTGGTTGTTTATTCAGCCATCTGCATAAATATCGCTCGAGTGCAGCCAACTAGTCCAGTTAATATATTTAGACGCATTCGAATTGACACAGATAATTCTGCAATCAAATTAACGCAATTTCTATTCAAAAACATGAAAATTTTACTTTTAAAAAATATAGAATATAAAAAAATATAATGTGAATATTAAAGTGACAATACTAATGTGATGCATTATATTGAACGTAGCATACGCCGATCCTCCGTGAACCAAATTGAATAAAGTTGTTGTTTTAATAAACTACTCGTACGAGGAGATATTTTATTACCGCGCGAGTGTGCGAGCTGTTCGCACCTCGTTCGTCTGGCACACAGTGCCGCACGAATTCGCGCGCTTCCGCTAATTAATTATGAGCGCATACGTGTGCCGGATGTTAACGTGCGCCGCCGCCGCCATGTTGGTAGATTCTAAGTCAACCCCGCACCAAACATGCGTTCGTTCTGTTTATTACAATATTTGTCACGTGAACAAAACTAAAACCGCACTTTGCGCTACACAACAAAAGTAGGAACAAAATAATTACGTAATAGTTTTCCCTCTATGCATCACGCATATTTATTATGTAACGTTGGTTGCCTATAAATAATAAATATTAATCTATATGTTTCCAAGCGTATGTGCAATTTTTTAACGTTTACGGTATGTTTGGTTGCCTATACTATAAATTATGTAAGTTATAATTTGCGCGTAATAATTCAAAGAAATTTGCATAATTAACAAGCAATAGTTTCGAATCGCATTGATTAATGCGTGTGCTGATAATAACGGCGGAATTAATTTCGAATACACATAAATTGTTAAGCAACCGGGGCTAAAATTTGAAATTTTGAGCTGCAATCGATAGCGCAGTAACAGATTGAGTAATTATGAGCTAATCGTATCATTATTTATGTGCGATTCATTATCACTGTATCAATTATCAATTGGGCGAATATTAACTGATAAATTACCTCAAATCAATTCATTTTGATTATTATTTCGTAAAAATTACACAAAAATTAATGCCACGTATTTATCAATTGCATAATTTACATAAATGTTTTCTATTTGTTTAGAGAAGTAATTTTAATTAAGATTCTAGGAATAAGCATGTAGTGTCATTGACACTATTCAATGTATTGCGTTTATTGCTCGTAAAATGTATGTGCACTGTGTTTAAATTTTAATTTATCTGTTTTAAGAGAAAAAATAACAAAAAATGTTTAATTTAATTTTTAAATAGCAGTAAAACACATTTAATTAATTATTAACAAAATTTTCTAATAATTAACATTGTCTTCCCTATGTTCGACTGCTTATACCGTAACTCAAACCATTGTAAAACTGAGTTAAATATGATTTTCATGCAATATGCTTTGGAAAGTTTCCTTCAACCTTTATCAAACGCATTATTCTGATTCGAAGCGCCCCCGACAGATAAAATTTAACGTCTCTTACACTTTTCTTACGTTCCGGCGACTGGTTTCTTGCGGTATGTCTGCGACTTGACTGCGGCGAGTCCTTCGAATTCGTACGAAGGTACGCTCGCGCTTAGCGCAACCGAATCAGCGCGCCGGACCTTAAAATTTATGCTTCCGCTGCAAATTTCTTCCAGGCAATAAAGATTTGAATGTGATTTATACAATGTTATCGCGGTTCGTACACCGGTCGTAACTTATACCCGCGACTATAATCTGCGAATGAACAGGAAGACCAAACAGCGAATACCTTTAAATTGCGATCGAAATTTAAAGAAATAAGATTACAACTTATGACAAAAAATTTAACTTTTTACGCCTACGCACAGAGTCAATATTATTGAACTTAATGCATAATAAATAATTAAATGTAAATTAAACCCTTGTGAACATCCTCGGCGCGTACATGAGTCAAGAGTAAAATAAATAAATAAGCAAAGTGCGTCTTTGCAAACATTACAATCATTAATTTATTCACGCATCCGAAGCATCCGTCGAGCCTTGTGTTTACCTAGCGAGGAGCGTAAATACGACGGCGGACGCAACAACACAATAAATAAACGCCCAAGGTACCGAAATTTGGAAAAATATTTTAACAATGGGTGGGTTCTAATCTCGGCGGCTGTATGCGCGCCGCACAAACGTCGAAAATTTATTTCAATTCAGCGCAATAAACAGGCATTCGTCGAACTCGTGGACCACACAAAAATGTTCATAAATTATTTGACCCAAAACCCATCAAAACATGCATACAGTATATCGGGATATTGTATTGTATGAATATTTTGATGATACAATTTACAATATGATCTGGTTACGCTTTGGGCATGAAATTTCGATACGAATACGTTCAACAATATTATCAGCTTTTGTTATTTCAGATTCAATTACCAATCTATGTAGTTTTAATGATCATCCTAAAGGCAAAGTTGGATTATTGCGGAATTAATCATAAATAAGATCAAAAATAGATAAATTTTCATTTTAAATTAAAAAATTGTTAAATGTTTTTTTTTATTTAATGCTAATTCATGGTCATAACATGCATGTTTATATTTTGAAACACTAAATGTGTAAATTAATGAATTTATATCCGTACAACGAGACTACTAGAGTTTTAGCTTTGATCTTGTGAGAGTTAATAAAATTTATCGTGCTCTGCGAGCATGTTTAGTGCTCGGGCATAAAAATTATTAACTTTGTCATCGCTTCCAGACGGTATCTTTTGTATTTATTAATAGAATCTTAAGCTATGCAACGCTGCGCGTCTAAATTCAATCAAACAATTTAAAAATTAAAAATATTTTCTCTTTTTACATTTAATTTACGGTTATTTGATTCTCGAAATTTTTATTTCAAATTATATTCCTGTAAATTAAAATAGAAATTTAATGTTTCGTAAAATAAACTCGAATAAACTACTATTTGCGAAATATTAATTGTTTTCCGCGCCCGAGTCATAAATGTATTTCTACTCCACAGGAAAAAACCTACAAAATGTACATTAGTATTTATGCATGCAGTAGAATGCGCATAAACGTCGACTGTTATTGCGTTATTAATTGAAACTTCTTGTAAACATCATCATTTCATAACCGTGTTTATTTGCAAATGTTTCCATCATTCTCATCACAGCACAACAGGTACCTATAAATCAATTCTAGGCGTGCATGTTTTGTTTTATTTTACAGCTACTGTAGAATAACGACGACGAGTGTCTTGGAACACATGCAGGAATCCAAGCATCACAGGAAAGCACGTTTTTACAGCATTAACTGCACTCGCAATCATGCTGCGGGCCATGTTTTAATTGCGTCGCGAATCGCGCATGATAATTCGATCATTTGGATTCGTGATCGCGAATTAACGACGCGCACGCTCCCCGAACCGAACCTTTTCCTGGAAATATCTCAACTACACACGTTAAACATTTAAATTCGGATTAAAATTTCGTAATTTTCGTTATAACACATTGTTTTAACAGATGATTCTTGCACGTAGGTAATATTTAAACGAAATGAAACTTAGGTTTTGCTTTCTTTGCGTTCGTGCTGTTGTGGTGGTTGCAATTTCAGCGGAATTAAAATTTTTAATCAAAGCATGCTCACGACGAATGTAATTTCTGCGCCGCGTGCGCGGAATACCAACAAGTCATTGGTAGTACTCGTAGAAATATTTTTCACGTTTATTTTGTTTCGTCTAGTGTGCAACATTAAATTCGTCAAGCGCCTAATTTCGAATTTGTGATTTGATGTGTGCAGTGCCGTCGAATACGCAAATGTAGATCAACAGAAAACCATTTACCAAAATGAATAATTTACATTATCGAGTGGACAATACGGGCAAAGAGAAAGAGCCAATCATTAGGTAACCAAATTGTTTCGCTGTTCTGTTAAACATTGCAGCTGTGTTAATCGAAATCAATTTCGCCAATAATTTCGCATTAATATAATGTAATTCTGATGTTGATCAAAACCCCGCGTATATTCTTTATTAAAATTTGCCGTGTTTCATAAATATTAAATTAGTATAGGTAACGCCATCTATTATATACATATCTAGTTAATTTTTTTAAAATTTTTTATAATAAAAACGATAATCGCACATCGTTTTAGTAACATATGTGACAAGTACTTGAACATTCCCAACATTTTGTTTTTTTTCCGCGCTATGAAAAGGCAGATTGAGGAATCTCACTTTTCGGATGAATTATTGCCAACTTTTTCAATGAGGAGCACCATCACGATGATGGACTAGCGCGCGATGATGAAGCAGTTTGATGGAACAACGCGGTGACAACTTCTTTTCACACGACGCGACTAGACAAGACGACAAGCAACGCGCGAACGAAAAAAATACGCCGGCTAGAAAACATTTTCATGGCGTGGGAAAGAGTGTATTGGTTACTTACGTGTTGCTAGCTGCGAGCGCACGGCGAACGATGGCGGCAATTTTCCCCATCTATCATCCTCATCTTCGTCTTCGTCCTCGGCGCGACTCGGGCGGTTAGACAATGCGAAGAAGAAGAGAAGCAACAGGAGCAAATCAAGCAATCTGTAACAAGCAAATTTACAAAATTATTCTTTTAGTTATATTTTTATAAACACAAATAAAGAACAAATAAAAATAAAAATTTCGTACAATTTATTTATACGCGTAGTTGTCGTATATTCAAATTTTAAACATCACTACACTACTATTCGTACAGCACACAAGGTAGATAATATTTAATATGAAAACATGCACGCGTCGTATATTCACAATTCACAACATTCTCGTACTGTTTTGATGTAGATGGTGTCTGGGCCGATAGGAGTTCAGAATGTAAACAAGCGAAGAGGTGACACGCGCGCGCGGTAACATTCGATAACGAATGTGCGGAGAAAGCGGTCGGAATGTGTGGTCAATAAATCGCAATTTGAATTACAGTAGAATGCAGATGAACATCGCACCGCGCAACAACAACAACAGCCGCGTGCTTCGATATTGCAACGAATGCGATGTTGCGCTGTCAAAATGTCTCTCTGACGAAATGGAGCGGATAAATCATTTAAACTTTGAATTTTCAAACAACTATACGTCGAGTCATAAATTAATCAGTAGGTGGTTTTAGTTTTTTCAATAAATTCATTAAATATTTGTTTATTCATGAATTATTCGTAAATTATTCAAGTTATCATCAAAATTCATTTAGATATTTATTTATTAACAAATTTTAGATGTAAATCTGTTTAAATTAATTGTCTATGTTTTTTAAAATTAGATTTTGCAAAATTTTCAAGCTCTTTATTTTATTATGGCATAACATTTGATAAAATAATCATAAAAAGAAAATTTGTACTTTTTTATGGGATTTTATGGAAAATTCATTAAAATTAATTAATTGTTGTTGATGTAGAAAATAATTACAATTAAAAATATTAAAACCAACATCACCCACATGCTTTTCAATAAATTCATTAAATATTTTGTTAATCAATGAATAATTCGTAAACTGTTCAAGTTATCATCATATTGTTTTAAAATATTGATTCATTATTAAATTTGAGATATAAGTATGTGTAAATTAATTGTCTATGTTTTTGATATAAAAAGTTAATAACATTTAAAGTTAAATTTGTAAAATTTTCAAAATTTTAGTTTAATTGTAGCATAACTGTAGATAAAACATTCTTTAAAAGAAAATGTATACATTTCCGATGCATAATTTAACTCTAAAGTAATTTCTGTAAAAATAACTAAAATTAATAAAATGTTGATGAAAGTAAATAATTATTATCTAAAAAAAATTATAAACCATCACAACCCACGCATTTATTCCGCAATATTTACAATTTCACATAAATTGCAAAATGTGTTTCACTTGAACTTTTTATCCCGTTATTTTATTGTTATTAACATTTAATTCGGTCGTTTCGCTTCAAGTGTATGTTATATGTATCCACAAAGTAATTTGAATAAAATGCAAACTTCATAACCGAACCCATTCGCACCGTCAACATTTTCCTTGTTCAACGTTTAATGTTTAATGCTGTTGCGCGCAATGAATCCGAATAACCTCATAGTATACATACATAGTTAGGCGCAATGAAAACAAAATGCTCTTTGATTGCTCAATAACACCGTTGATATACGCAATCTATACAATGCCGGCGCGCAGCGTGAAGTCAACAATTTCAAATGTGCAGCGAGTAAAATGCACCCACCTACTGTTTAAACTTCATCATTTAACTGATGAAGAAAATTATGCACAGATTGACCGATAAAAATACGAAATATGTCAGAAACATTACAACTCTTAATTTATCGATGAGAAAATGATGATTTATCCAATAAAAAAGTTGTAAATCATAAATTATTTCATTTTTTCGGTTTGATGATGTGATAATTCAACGCGTGTGCGTCTTATGCAAATCAAAGTGTTTGTATTAAGTTAATTGACTAATTAGTATTCATAAATTCAGCTAAAACAATCAACAATATTGAAATATACGAATTTATTAATAGAAATCATTAAAATTCTAAAATAATGATGTCTTATTATCATAATATTGTCATTCGTTAACAAACCTAATCGTTGGCGAGTTGATTTTTGACTTGTCGCAGAAAAAGTCACCGAAAACACGAAACTAGTCGGCGTGAATGCAAATGCGATCAGCGCGAATATCGACTTTAATCAGATTATCAATCGTGCCGACATCTCTCGTCGGAAACTGGAAGCTGCGATGAGCACAGCGGATGAGAATACGCAAATTACCAAATCAAATTTCGCTCTCAAAATAATGAAGCACAAACAAATGTAAATACATTTTCGGGACGAGTATTAATTAGTAAAACATAAATCCAATCAACAAACCTATTTATAACCGCCGCAAACAAACGGGCAGCAAATGTTAATTAATAACAAAAGGGAATAATTTGTATTGTAAGCAAATTCAATATTAATATTAATAATAATCACAATAACACAAAATAAAACCGTGTATCATAAATTTTAATAATAGACATTCATCACTTTACCAATATTTTAATCAAAACTGATGGAAAATTAACGAAAATTATTTTTAAAACAAAAAAGTTTTAAAAATTAAATTTTCCATGAAATCTTCTTGATTTATCTTGTGGTAATTTATAGCTTTTACTACTGTGCGCGTCCCTTTTACATCTGGTGCAACCCAAAACCCACGAGTGTGTTATTTGTAGATTGATATCATTTTACTCTTAATTTAGAGCTAGTAGCAACCTACCACTATGTAACCATTGTGGTAACCACCAATTAAGTACAGATATAAACAGGAAGAAAGCCTGCTCTGTTTATTTTCCCTATTTATACAATGTGTACAATAAAATTAACGTGAAATGTAAATATTCCACATTGTATAATTTATTTTATTGCACATATGCTGCACTAGACAATAAAAAGTTTTGCTTTCGTTTCGGAGGCGTTGCGGCCCTTCAAGGGCCTTGACACAAATTTATGAGGGAGCAACCTGTTGCTAGAATAGAAAAGCCCGCAGGCTGGGCGGCTGCTAAACGGGCGGGTTGGGCGCGCGAGCAAAAGCACCCGCAGAGTCTCTTTAATTACACGCCCGAAAAGGACACAATACAATTTACCGACGGCGATCGCGTCCAATTTATTATCACGGCTCACTGCGAGATAGTCGCGTCGGAAACCCTCTGTTTACGTGCTGTCACGTGCAGATACCGGTCTAGGGGCAGGCGCAGATTCCTCGGCGACCACTAAATTCCACCACTAGACTTCTTCCAAAGTTATAATACTAGTGTGGAGATAAATCAGGTGCTATAAGTCAGGACTATGTAAATATACTCCTAGTTTCATTTCACTTCATTCATTTTTATTTTACGTTTTGAATTTTTTATTCGGCTGGAAGAGTTTGGTGGTTAATAAAAAGACGCACGCGATCATTGAAATGGACATGATCTCGGGATATTAATCTACGACCAGTGAGCAGGAAATTTATTGTTGTTGATTTATTACTAGTCATGTTACTAATGAAGTTTTTTTTATTGCTTCGCAGACGTTTGGATGAAACAAGAGATGTGAATGTGTAGATTCTATTCAAAAAATAAATGAGACTTTTGTTTTGTCTACTTTTTATCTATTCTCATTTATTGTGATAAACAAAATTAACTTTTTAGTAATCATCAACTTTAGTTGCATGTCTCGATGTGATTTTAGCGACAATACGAATGGTCACTTGGTCAGTACTTGCCTCTAAACTTTTAAGTTTTTTTTTATTCTTGCTGTTTTTTAAAGGCACGTTGATTTATTTTACAACCGCCGAAATAAATGTCCACCGCGCCGGGTTCTTTCGCGCAGATAAATGACGGAAATAAATCATTACGAGCATTGCGACGTCGCGCTTTTTACAGCCTGTTTTTATGCATTATTTCTCGTTTTACTCCATTTCTGCGTACACTCAGATGTTTTTTCTCCTCGTACGCGCACGAGGAAATAAACGTGACATCTTAAACCTAAAAATTTAATTTACAACATGTTATGATTATGACATAACCTGCGTGCAATACTAAAATTTTAAAATTTATTATGCTAGCAGCTATAGTTGCAAGAAAAAATGACGCAACATTAAAATTGATTAGTTCTCAAATAATTTTCCGCCTTGGAAATTAGTACAGTTCGTAAATTTAATTAAAATTCTCTTTACGACCTACAATAAAACAAAAACATTCTGTCTAATTAATACGCCGAAGCTTCGAGAATTAATTAAGCAACCTGTTGATACCCGAAACGTGTTAAACATTTAAATCTCATGCGCACTGCACAGTTGAAGTTGAAAAGTAAAACAAAATAAAAATCTGATGAAATCGTTCATCTTTTACTGCGTGCTTTGTGTTCGTTTCAGTTTAAATTGTCTGCAGTGAAAGGAAGTGCAACATCTGAGCTCTGAGAAGTTCTGAATGGAGTCGGACACACCCGTTTAGTCATTACTCGCTTTTTTCATTGATGAGCGCGCTCGTGAAGATCGAGATACCGAGGAAGACAAGAAGAAGAGCAGCGGTTGAAAAAGCCACCTACACGCGAAAGGTGAGCGAGGTGAGCGCGCGCTCGTGTTTATATTTATTATATCGGTGATTGTGCTCGCAAAGCTCATGTTCTTCGTGGTTGTTCTCGACGTTCAAGACACTCAACACGCTTTTAGCCGAGGGTTTATCACGTGTTACATGTTTATGCACCAGTTTATTAATATAATTACTATAATTAGTATTTTCGCATGTGTTTAACATAAATTTATAATTTTTTCTTCACTGGGTCATAAATAATATACACAACAATAAAAATATGTCATATTAACTGTCAAAAACTAATATCCTGGTAATCTATGGGCTTTTATGTTAAAATTTTCATTCAACAGTCACGTATTAAATTTTAAAAACTTTTCAAACATGTAACTAAACATTTTTTCTGTTCCGATCGGAAAAACTTTACGACTTGTCTGCGGATGTCTGCTGCATCTTTAAATAACTCATTCCCGTATTTGATTTATATGATTTCGCGTTTATTGTATAGATAC